GACTACTGGAAGTTGAATCGGGCTACGGTCAAGAATAAGTACCCTATGCCCCGTATAGATGATTTGTTTGACCAGTTGAAGGGTTCCCGTTGTTTCTCTAAGATAGACTTGAGATCGGGTTACCACCAGTTGAGGGTCAGGGAGGAGGATATTCCTAAGACGGCATTTCGTACGCGGTATGGCCATTATGAGTTTCTGGTGATGCCGTTTGGGCTCACCAATGCACCGGCAGTCTTTATGGATTAGATGAACTGGATCTTCCGGGAATTCTTAGACCGTTTTGTAGTCGTTTTCGTGGACGACATTCTGATTTATTCACCTTCAGAGGAGGAGCATGAGGAACACTCGAGAGTGGTGCTTGAGTTGCTTAGAGCCTATAGGCTTTATGCCAAGTTTGAGAAGTGTGAGTTCTGGCTAGGAGAGGTCAAATTCTTAGGCCATGTGGTATCCAGGGAAGGGGTGTCTATTGATACATCCAAGGTAGAGGCAGTACAAGATTGGGCACAGCCAAAGAGCGTTTTTGAGATCCGCAGTTTTCTGGGATTAGCTGGGTATTACCGCCGGTTTGTGAAGGATTTCTTCAGGTTAGCTTCGCCATTGACTAAACTGACTCAGAAGGGAGTCAAATTTGTATGGAGTGAGACTTGTGAAAAGTCGTTCCAAGAGTTGAAAGTTAGATTGACCACCGCTCCGGTCTTGATTATTCTAGAGAGAGGATTGGGTTATGCAATTTATTGTGATGCCTCAAGAGAGGGTTTGGGTTGTGTGTTGATGCAAGAGGGGAAAGTGGTAGCTTATGACTCACGTCAGTTGAAAGTACACAAGAAGAATTACCCTACACACGACCTAGAGTTAGCAGCAGTGATCTTTGCCTTGAAGATTTGGAGGCACTACCTTTATGGTGAGAGGTTCGAGGTGTTCTCGGACCACAAGAGTTTGAAGTATCTGTTTACACAGAGAGACTTGAATTTGAGGCAGAGGAGATGGATGGAGTTCATTGAGGACTATAATTTTGAGTTGCACTATCACCCGGGAAAGGCCAATGTTGTGGCCGATGCCCTTAGTAGGAAATCCATTAGTGATGTAGCTTGTATAGCCATCCGGGAATGGGAGATGTTAGGTGCACTTGGCGAGTTTGATTTGCTTCTGGGCGAATCTGTTGAGGCTGCGGCCTTGTTTTCTGTTGTTGCGCAGCCTACACTTGTGGCCCCAGTATTAGAGGCACAGAGAGGTGACCTTGAGGTAGAGTCCTTCTAAGAGAAGATCTCCAGTGGGAAAGTTGAGAAGGGTTTGACAGTGTATCCTGACCAGAGTGTGAGATACCGAGACCGTTTGTTTGTGCCGGAGTCTTGCCGAGAGGAAGTACTCCGAGAGTTCCATCATTCACGCCTTGCGGTGCATCCGAGAGGCACTAAGATGTATTGGGATTTGGGTCGCCAGTTTTGGTGGTGGGGTATGAAGAGAGATGTGGCTGTTTTCCTATCGAAGTGCCTTACTTGCCAGCAAATGAAGGCCGAGCATCAGAGGCCAGCGGGTTTGTTGCAACCCGTGCCTATTGCCGAGTGGAAATGGGAGCATGTCACTATGGACTTCGTTGTAAGTCTTCCAAGGACTCAGCGGGGTAGTGATGCCATTTGGCCGGTTATAGACTGGTTAACTAAGTCGGCGCACTTCATTCCTATGCGCGTGAGAGATTCGGTAGATCATCTCGCCGACTTGTATATTCGGGACATAGTGAGATTGCACGGGGTCCCAGTGACGATCGTCTCAGATAGAGATCCTCGTTTTATTGCTAGGTTGTGGCAGAGTTTGCAGAGTGCCTTGGGCACTAAGTTGACCTTTAGTACGGCTTATCATCCTCAGACTGACGGGCAGTCCGAGCGTACTATTCAGATCCTTGAGGATATGCTTCGAGGTTGTGTCCTTGACTTTAGTGGGACGTGGGAGAGGCACTTGCCCTTGGTGGAGTTTGCCTACAACAACAGTTTTCAGTCTAGCATCGGTATGGCACCGTTTGAGGCCTTGTATGGCCGACCGTGTAGGTCTCCAGTGTGTTGGGCCGAGGTGGGTGATGCACATTTGTTGGGTCCGGAGTTGGTCAGGGAAACGACAGAGAAAGTTGAGCTTATCCGTAGGAGGCTTGTTACAGCCCAAAGTCGCCAAAAGAGTTATGCCGACCGTAGGAGGAGGCCTTTGGCGTTTGAGGTAGGTGATCATGTCTTTTTGAAAATATCACCTAGGCAAGGTTTAATGAGGTTTGGGAAGAGTGGAAAGTTATCCCCTCGGTTTATCGGTCCCTTTGAGATCCTTGAGAGGATTGGGGAGGTCGCTTATCGTTTAGTTTTACCACCGCAGTTGTCCGGAGTGCATGACGTGTTTCATGTGAGTATGCTTCGGAAGTATGAGCCGGATCCATCCCATGTGTTGGATTGGACTGACTTAGAGGTTGATGAGGATGCCTCGTATGAGGAGAGACCAGTTCGGGTCTTGGATAGGAGGGATCAAGTCTTGCGAGGCAAGACCATTCCCTTGGTAAAGGTTTTGTGGAAACATCACGGAGTGGAGGAAACCACTTGGGAACGTGAGGCGGATGTCCATGAGAATTATCCAGACTTGTTTGTTGATGTATAATTATTTATTGTGATTTTGTAATATTGTTAAGCCTTAAGGGCATTGTATATGTCTAAGTTGTAAAACATAGTAATGTTTTGATTTAATGGAAGTATTTTGAAACTTGCCTCAAAATGAAAGTTTAATGTAACATTGCATATGTTGGATGTATTGTAGAAATGAAAATATATCATGAATACTGAATATGATATAGAATTGTGGAATGTAGTATTGAAATTTGTGGAATTTCAGGAAATGCATAACTATAATGCATGTTGTGGAAAATGTTGTAAACTGCCTCTTGAAAAGAGATGAGATAACCGGTAATGGGTCGGATTGTTTAATATTATGTTGTAATATTGTTGAGAATGGAGAAAACCTGTTTTTGAAAAATTTGTGTTTAATTTCGGGGACGAAATTCTTTAAGGGGGGAAGGTTATAGTGATCCCGGTTGTCCCTTTACTGTTCTGCTGTATTCCGAACTCGGTTCCGTGGAGTTGGTAGTTGTATCTATCTTGTTGTCGTCATTTAATTCCATTTGTTTGAGTTTTAGGATGTGTTGGGCATGTTTCGAACAAGTGGGTTGAACCTTGGTCTAAAATCTTGTTGCTAGGTTTTTGGTCGTTCCGCTCGAGCGGGCCTTGTTGTGCTCGAGCGGAGATTGCACACTCCCAGTATTTCGTGTCCCTGCAAAACTTCTGCAGGTGTGATTTTTACGTTCGAGCGGGTATCTTTACGCTCAAGCGGGTACTCTGGCGCTCGAGCAGGTAGTAATTTTTGGTGTAAGTTCTGGGAGGGGGAAATCTACGCTCGAGCGGACTGGTTTTCGTGCTCGAGCGGATGTACTTTATTCTTGTGTCTTGGCGCTCAAGCGGGCCTTCTTGCGCTCAAGCGTACCTAGTTTTTTGTTCTTGACACTCGAGCGTTGTGTTCTCCGCTCGAGCGGGAATGTCGTATATCAGTTGGCAGCTGGGCATTTTAAAATCACTTTTTACATTCTCTCTCTCTCTCTTACTTTTCTAAAAAGACATTTTGAGAGCTCCTCTCTCTAGAAACTCCATTCTCTCTAGGGTTTGATCTAGTTAGAGTATCTCTCCATCCTCCGGCCTTTGTAAAAAGTGTGTTGATCGTCGAGGGCTCCATTTTGATCCGTGTATCTTTGAGTTTGGAGCATTTTGATTTTCTTTAACTTCCCCGTTTGAGCTCTAACTTCGAGGTAGGGATATCCTACTCCTTCTCATGAGTTTTGTCTTTAAATTTTAGTATTTTGATGAGTTGGGGGTTGTTGGGTAATTTTGAGAAAGTTTGAGCCTTTGTGTAATTTTACAAAAGTTGGGGTTTTGTTTATATAAACTTATATGCATGTTTGGCATAGGGAAATGAGATCAATATTGGTTTATTGATGAAAATGGAACCTTAGGGTTGTGATGTTAATTATGAGAAATGCTCTAATTACATTGATAAATTAATTGGTATAATTAATTTGAAGAAAAGAAGAATTAAATTGAGAATGTTGATAATATATCCATTTGGTGCAGTTATTTTCTGTTTAGAAATAACTGTTTTGGACTATCGGTGGAGGATAGTCTTGATTGTTGTAGACAATGCATGATGATTAGGCAAACTAAAACTAATCAATTGAGTAAGCCATTGAATATGGTGGTTGGCACAATACAGCACTCAAATGTGTATTGATTGATTTAATTTGTATATGATAATTGTTTCTATACATTGCATTGTGTGGGAGGAGATGGGGGATGTACTCCACGGTTTATTGGAAGAACGGGGCTGAACCTCTAAATCGAATCTTGTGACAGTGATACAGCACTACAATGTGTATCAGGCTGCGAATTAGAAGTGTTTTCTTGTGACAGTGATACAATACTACAATGTGTATCAGGCTGCGAATTAGAAGTGTTTGTTTGATTTGATATAGCACTAAAATGTATATCGTTATTAATTGTGAAGTATAGAAGTGTTTCTATGTCATGTTAATACAGCACCACAATGTGTATCGTTCGTATAGTATGGAAGTGGCTTATGTGTTATTGATACAGCATCAAAATAAGACTACAACTCAAACCTATAACAACCACAAAACCATCCCACACAACACCCATTTCCCATCACCATCCCAATAGGTCAGGAATTATGCATACAAAGACTTTGACCAAATTGGCTTTTATTTAGGAGAAAGCTAAAAACACCCTCTTCTCTACTTAATCGAAATCAAAGCTCAAAACCAAGAACTCCACCCATCACCTCCAGGAATTGAAGATGTGCAGTTAGCTGAGGAAAATGGCCATTTGTGTCGATGATCTCCACAGTTGATTTGGCCTTGATCTTCTTCTGCATGAAGTATCCGATGGAGATGGGGACGGCAAGATCATGGGTGGTCTGGATGATGGTGCATGGGATCGTAACCTTTTCAAGCATGTCTCTTTGGTCACTGTGGAAGATGAGTTTGGCTGTTGAGAGTGCAGCTTCAGGGCTCATTCTTTGCAATGAGTTTTTGAACTTATCAACAGTGATAGGGTCATTTGGATCAATAACACGAGAAGCGAAGCTTGAAGCCCATTGGTGGAAGTTGGATTCAATGCTTGACAAGAGTTGCTCAACATCTGAGCTTTCAAATCCCCCTTCATAATCTTCCAAATTTATGTACCTATATGTGAAAAAAAAAAAAAAAAATTACAAATATAGTGCAATTGTTTCAAGATTGTCCTACTTATTTACAATTTTTTCTAAAACTTATTTGTTTAGATATTAATTGTCAAATAAAAACGAATTATCAAGTATCAAATTGGGTTTTTATTTGATGTTTTTAATTTTATCTCTTAATTTATCTATTGACTTTTGTTGACTATCTGTTCAAATTTTTTCCCTATCTGTTTTAAAATTTTCCTATCTGTTCAAAAATTTTCCTTATCTGTTCATTTTTTTCTTATTTGTTCAATTTTTTTACCTTATCTATTTATTTTTTTAATATTTTTAATTCAAATTTCCCTTATCTGTTTAAATATTTGTCTAAATAAAATTATATATGTTCAAATTTAATATCTATTTAATTTTATTGTCTATTAAAATTATCTATTAAAAATCCCTATATGTTGAAATTCTATCTGTTCAAATTATTTTTTCAAAAATCTATCTGTTGAAATTATTTATTGAAAAAAATCCCTCTATTGCAATTTATCTGTTCAAATTCTCTCTATCTCTTTTTTACTATCTGTACAAATAAAATTCAAATTCAACAACAACAACAACAACAACAAATCTATCTATTGAAGATCTACCTTTATTGTTGAAATAAAAATTTCTCTATTGCAATCTATTTGTTCAAATTCTCTCTATCTCTATCATACTATCTGTACAAATAAAATTCAAATTCAATAACAACAATAACAACAAAAAAAATCTATCTATTGAAAATCTACCTTTATTGTTGAAAATCTATCTGTTCAAATTCAACAACAACAACAATAATAAATAAATAAAAAAATAGCCACTACCTGTTCAAACACACATACACGAATAGATAATGGAAATACATATCTGTTGCGGAGGAAGAGAAAATGCTAGCAGTTGTGAGACGAGATAGGAGAAAGGAGAGGGAATGAAAGAGAAGAGAGAAAGGCCATGACTTAGTGGATTTCGATGGTAGTGACCAAGAGGGGAGATGAATCAGTGCTCTGGTTGCTCGTGAAAAGTAGATAAAAGTGGATTCTGGTACCAGTAAGGCAAATTGGTACTCCGACCAGCACGATTGTAGCTTCATCCTCATCTTCCACACAGATTTGGTGCTGCACTACTCCCTGGTGGTGCAAAATCGTGAAAGAAGAGACGAGGTGGTGTGGTGGTGGTCGGTGACAACATTGGTGATGTCAACAGTTGAGGAAAGAGGGAAGAGAGAGAGAGAACTGTCAACTTGTGTTAGGGATTTGTTTCGAAAATAACATATATATATATATATATATATATAATGGGATATTTTAGTCATCTTGTTTAAACTTGTCATTTTGAATAAAGTATTTGAACACTTGAATTTTTAGCCAAACAAAATTGATATTATGTTTGGTTTTGACTTTTTGGCTAAAAACACACAAAAGACAAAATTGACTACATAAGCTAATAAGATAAAATATTACATCCAAACCATAATTATTATAATTTTTCTTTCACAAAAATCAAAAAAGATAAAAACAAAAACCAAACGAGGCTAAAAAAACCAAGCTAAAATAGTCAAAAAAATCAAACTATTTTAGCTCTTTCCAAACAAGTATATGGACCAAGTGCCCAATTTTTTTATCAGTCACATAAATTTTCAGTTTTACTATAATAAATACCCTTATATTATTAAGAAGAGAGATGTGCATATATAATTTAAGGGAAGCTATGATTCAAAACAAAACATTAAAGAATCATGTCACAATCACAAATCAATGTCATCCGGAATGTAGTTGAAATACAAAATAGTTTTTTGGTTCATAATTTGTTCCAAACAGAATGTAGTACAAGCAAGCACACACCACACAAATCCAGGAAACAACTGACAAAATATATATATATATATATATATTATTCAATCGTCTTGCATCATATGACACAATGTTGTTATATCAGATCAGCACACAAAAGGAGCGTCAACATGATGGTCACTGCAATAGAGGCCTGGACGCTGAGTGAAACCCTGGCTTTTCAGCAACTCCCGGGCCCTCAATACAAGCTCCTGATTGTTAACAGTACCATCTGTTTCAGCAATTATCATCTGAATTGCATTGCTGAGAGCTCCGTAAGCTTCATCAGCATTGCCAGATGGGCTAGCATCAGCAGAAGTTTGGTCGGTTTGGCAGCCACTAATCAAAATGCCATTTTCAGGAAGTGCCCGCTTGCTTGCTCCGGCATAAACCTCTTGCTTGCTAGCCACTTCTGTTTCAAGCGCAGGTTTTGCATAGCTTTCATCATTTTCATCAAGCTTTTGCTTCAGGAACTCCTGAGCCAGATTTCCAACCTTCCCCAGAAACCCACTGCCTTCGTCCCCACCCTCGCCCTCACCGCCACAATGTTCTTGGAGTTTGTTCATGATTACCTTCATAAACTTCTTTACCTTAGGGCTGGCATCTTCACCAAAGATGTCAAAGAGTGCCGGCCTCAGCTTGCCGACATCAATGTCGTCCTTTCCAGTTTTCTGCTTGAGTATCTCGATGAGAGTTGAAAGAGGCAAAGATTTGCTCTTCAAATACCCCCAATTCCCATATCCAGCCTCAGCTTCTGTGTCATTGACAGCTTCTTCATGGTGCCGGTGGTGGTGGCGCAAACCTGAAGGCAGTTGAATTCCACGGGACTCGAATGCATTCTCCACAGTTTGATGCAAGAAGCTTTTGAATCCAAAACCCGATTCGTTCCCTTGATGGGAATTCCTGGTGCTCTCCCCAATTTGCTCTTTAGCGTCATCAATAAGGCCACCACTGTGGCACGAGTCTGATACAATTGTAATGCGGCAACCTTCTGGTACCTTGTCTACAAACTCCCTAAAATCATCATCTGTGTGGACACGACACACATAGAAATAGTTAAAATTTTCTCTCTCTAGGTTAAGAGAGAAGCAAAATACTACACCTATTTAATCTTTGGAGGAGGAGACTCAAAGCAATATGCTTTATAATGACAATGAGGGGAAAATCTTTAAAGCATGGCTTTGCTTCTGATTCGCATTTGTAGGAACATTCAAAGAACATTTTGAACAGTTTCAAAGGAATGTGACTCCGTTTGTTTTAATGTGAAATTTTGTACTTTGTAAAATACTTTTCAAGAATTTTTTTCCTAAAAATGAAACATTTTTTTCGTCATTCTCCAGGGTCTGGTTAAAATTTTGTATAACTTTTTCCAGAAATGATTGAAGCCTACAGTCATGAAGATTTACCATAGAAATGATATAAGAAAACAATCTACGTGTATTTTAGATACTAGCTTTAGCTAGAATCCTGTTCAAAATACTCATTAAAATACTTACTTAAAAAGCACTAAAATTTACGCAGCAAATAAAGAAAAGATAAGAGAGAAGGCCTCTCGTGTGAAGCATTTCATCAAGTAGTTAGCAGACAAAGGAGAGTAAGGTATATTTGTTGATCCAAAAGAGTGATAGTCTTGGAAGATGCAAAAGGTAGCAATCGATGCAACCAGAACGGTTTTTAATCAAATCAATCCAACAAAACACAACCAAAATGCTTTAATCTAATTCAAGAGAGACAGAGAGAGAAAGAGAGAGAGAGATAAAAAAAGAAGAAGAATTATTAGAACCTAAAATTAAACAGGATCAAATCAAAACCAGAGCAACGAACATAGAAATCATCTGCAACAAATTGAGAGACAACCCGTATGGTTGAAAAAATAAATCTTAAAAAAATTCAAACAATCGATCAATTGAGGGTGCATAATGATATGATATATTGGAGCAAGTCAACAGCCTCAAGAAGTTAAAAAAAAAAAAAAAAAAGTGTCAATTTTAGTAGTAGAGTATGCACCGATCATCGAAAAAGTAAACTTTCCCAGAGGGAGATCCGAAAAAGGTGAAAAGTAGGGGTAGAGATCTGAGAAGATGAAAAGAAGAAAGTAGATGATGGTGATGGTGGCATAAGCATACTCATACAGATCATACAGATGGCATACCAGCGATGAGATTCATGTCAGTGGGGACGATGCACTCGTCGTAGCCGGTGTCGTCGTGCTCGCCGGTCTCGGCGGGGAGACGGGTGCCGTGACCGCTGTAGTGAACGAAGAGGAAGTCGCCAGGCTGAGCAGATCGGAGGAGATCGGAGAGGGCACGGCGGATGTTGTGGCCGGTGGGCTGAGTGTAGGAGTCATCGGTGTCGATGAGCACCGTGATGTCGTCCTCATAGAACCCGTAACGCTCCACAAGGCACTTATACATCCTCCTCACGTCGTTCACGCATCCCTTCAGCTCCGCCTTCGTCCCCTCGTAGTTGCATCCTATCAGCACTGCTTTCTTCCCCATTTCCTCCTCCTTCCTTCCTTCCCTTTCAATTCAATTCAATCCCCAAACCCCCCCAACTCACCCTCTCTCTCTCTCTCTCTCTCTCGATTTTCCGCTTGATCTCATCCCTTTATTTTACTCTCTTTTATTTATTTATTATTATTAAGAAAACCTTTGCCATTCTTTTGTTAAATGAGGTTGGGGTAAAAATAAGGGAACTTTTTTTTAAGTTCCATAATAATAATAATTTAGAGCATAAAGGATACTTAAAAAAACAGTGATGCATCATGTCTCTGAATAATTTGGCGTGCGTTTTTAATTATTTTGTGGACCAAAATACCCTTGTCAAAATCAACACAGAAACGAAACTCATTCCGACGTCTGAGTTCCATTCCAAACATCCAGCATCTTCACAGCAAAATTAGGGTTTCAACATCATCTGCACCATCGATATTAGAGCTTCGTTATCTTCTCCAAAAATCATTCTCATTCCTTCCTCACAAATTTCTCTGACCTAGGTTAAAGTTTCGTTTTCACTGCTCATCATCATCTCAGTCCATCTTCGTCACGTCGCATCTTCATCTCGGGCCATATCAGCTCGTCATTCAAGTTTCATTCTAACTCTGGTAAGTTTTTCTACAATACAACTAGATTTTCTCTAGAAACACAATTAATAGCATTTTATAATAACCTTCTGTACGGGGAGGAAATAATTCTCCTCGTATAATCCTGTTGACCAAGTCCACGCTCCTCCGTACGACGTCGCTTTGTCACCTGAAAACACAAACGTGAGCTAGCCGGCGGGTGTGTGCCGGAAACCTCTCCGATGCCTAAGTCAGAAAACTTGACAAATAGACAAAACTCAATGTTCTCAGAAAGATTGTGTTCAATTACCTCCTCCAAGGTGATGTTTGTAGGCTTTTATAAGTTTCCCGTGGCACAATCCTAGTAGGACTTGTACTTCTCCACGCAGAGTCCTCCTAGGACTCACTCTCCAAAGGATAATGCTTATCCTTTTACACCCTCCCCCACTGCTTAAACCAAGTGGGATGGTTTTCTTCATGGCCGAACTACAACATGACCGAAATAACACTGGCTATGCTGAGCCACATAGAAGGCCGAACTATCCTTAGCTCGGTCTTCTCCTCTAACTCATTACTTCGGCTGCCCTGTTCAACCTTGATGCGCTTAGATCAAACTTCCAAGTAACAAGTGCTGACCGACCTAACCACA